TTTTCATGTTGGTTGCTGATGATGTACTGTTGTTTTTTTCCCAAAAAAAAACACAGCAAAGATGTGAACTTTACGTTGGGAACCCCAACGTGTGAGGTGAAATTGAGAGAAGAATATAGCTTTCCAAAAAAAAAAAAAAACAAAAAAAAACTTAACGTTGATTTGGGATACCCACCCATGTGGCTGAATGGTGCACACATGTAACCATTCGCGAACAGATCACGAGTTCGAATTCTGATGGGAGAAAGGAGGAACAGAAAGTACTGATGATGTAGGATGGCGAAAACAATGATAATAATGCAAATGGATTGCAAAAAGAGATAAAGAGACGTCTGCCTGGCGGCAAGTAGTGGGGCAGAATGACTTTTTCTGCATGCGGCAAGATCTTTCGTCATCCTCTCCCCATTCCTGGCCATACACATGGGTTCGCCTACTACATGGCCTCCTACGGTCTTCTGAGCTTTAACTTTACAAAACATTGCCGTGTACATGTACCACACGTCTACAACTTTGTGTGTTTTATTTGTGTATATATCTGTACAAATGTATATAGGTATATGAGTAAACTGAAGAGAGGAAACTTCAGGCAAGCTTAAGAACTTGTGGTAGAGTATAGCCTTAGGAGATCATAGATTGGACCCCCACCCAACAGGGCGAGCTCCCACTTGTCTTCTGTATCCTCTCACTCTGGAATGTAGATCACAACGATCACAAACGCAGAATTAGTAATTACGGTAAAGAAAAGGGGAAAAAAAAGGAAAGGGAAAAAAAAAAGAGAACTTTCCAATGGAAGACTACCATCATTGCAGTTGTCAGGGAGGGATACCCTGTTAAAAAACGTGAGGAGTATGCTTTTCTACCTCTCTTTATATACATATATGTATACAAGGCCTACACTTGTGCCGTCACCCATGCACATGGACCCAAATAAAGTATTCAAAATTAGTTCATTTGACCTTTTTTCAACTGCTGAAAAAAAAATGATCTGTTTCTTCTTTTGCCACCTTTTTTGAGGGCTTGTTGTCAAATGACCGTTAACTCTCTCTCTCTCTCTCTCTCTCTCTCTCTCTCTCTCTCTCTCTCTCTCTCTCTCTCTCTGCATATATATATGTATATATATCGTATGTATATATATAATATTATATATGTATCATCACATAACTATGAACTAAAAGAGCGCACTTTGCGAATACTTGGCTGCATGTGCATGTGTGACGACAAAAGTATAGGCCTTCAATATATATATATATTATATATACATTTATATATTAATTACTAGTATTATAAAATGTTTTATAAATTATTAATATTATAACATCTATATATATATATATATATATATTAAAAGGCATATACTTTTGTTGTCACGCATGCACATGGAGCCAAATAAAGCATTGAATATTAATTCATTTGACTTTTCTTTTAGCTGCTAGAAACAAATGATATGTTTCCTCTTTTGCCAGCTTTTTGGAGGGCCTTGTTGTTGAATGACAGTTAACTCTGACTTCTTTTTGTTTTTCCTTTGTTAACCTCACTTGGAGAGAGACTGTGATTTTTTGCTTTGCATTCTGCTCCACATACGAAAGCACTCATATTGAAGCAACAAGATAGGGTGAAGCATCATTTGTTTCTTGGTTTTTTGTTTTGCTTCTGCTTTTTCCTTAAAGGCAAAGCATAATGAGAAGCAAACAAGTGGAACTCTCCCCGGGTAAGAAAAGCCATAAATGATGTTTTGCGCTGTCCTGCTTATGGCATTTCTGAATGCATCTGGGCGATACTACAGTCAAATTCTTTCAAGCAATTCATAATGTGGATTCGCTCTTTGAGAGAATCAGGGCATTTCCATAAGGAGTTTTCCAAGTGCATCTGGCTGCAATTGCCGCCAAGTGAATGTGGCTGCAATTCCAGCTCCAGAAGTATGAACTCCAATGAAAGACACTATCCCTTTCCTGGCGCCTTCCGCATCCCCTCCTATGGCTGGACCTGGCAGATAAACCCAAAAGATACTAACTGGTAGAAGGATGGCCGAATGGACCCGTACCCAGAATCTTAGGCACTGCCGGAACGACATAGTGAAACTCTGCAATGCATCACGCCACTCGAGTGATCTATTGCAGGCTCATAAGACTTGGAAGCACTTCTCTCTCTCTCTCTCTCTCTCTCTCTCTCTCCCTCTCTCTCTCTCTCTCTCTCTCTCTCTCTCTCTCTCTCTCTCTCTCTCTCTCTCTCTCTC